TAAGGCTTCAGACAGAGTTAAATTGAAAGTTTCCTAAAATACTCTTTTCTTCCAGGCCAACAGTTTCTCCTTTCTCCAAAATGCAGATTAAATGTTATCTAAGGGAGATGATTTCCCACGTTAGAATCATGTGACATCTCCCATGTACTTTCATAGCACCACGTGGTTTCTCTGATAGAATTATTTCTGGCTCCTCCATCTTGGGCACTTGAGGATTTTTATTGATCTTTGTGTCTTTGACACCCACTAAAACTTGACACATAATAAGAACAAAAAGTTACAGACTGAAGAAAGCCATAAGACTGAGGAACTGGCTTGGATTCTCCATAACCAGCGTCCACACTGGATTTACTCAAGACTGGAATAAATCCAAGGGCACCAAGGGTATGTGACTCATGACCTCTGAGGAGATGAAAAGGAGAATGTCACATACCATGGCCTTCAGGCTGGCAATCAGGATGGTGGATTCTTATACTAAGTGTGGCTATGATGACTTTGACCTGAAATGTTACATAAGGAGGACTGTAGAGGCAGTATGATCCGGTCTTAGGTTTTAGAATCCCTTTGAAGAAGGAATCAGGGACTGGCTTCTTCCTAGATGCCTTTTCTTAGGAGCGCACACTTAACACATTTATTTTAATAAGCTTGACTTAACAGTTGACTTTGACAGAACTCCTTCATTCATTGCAAAGGAGGAAGAATGACCTGAATGAGCATAGGAAATGGGGCAATGGGGGCACCCACAAAGGGTGAGCTCATATTACTACCCAAGCACTGTCAGTTTTCACTATGAGCAAACATCAATCACATCTCAGCTTTCTATAGAAATGATACTCAAGTTCAGAAGAAAGAAGATGGTCAGAACAATCTAGAAATGTGTCTTTGTATCATGTTTAAAACAGGAAAAAAGCAGATTTATAGCAAAATTAATGACACTATGTTCTGTGAAAGAACATGGGTATAAAATAAGATGATCTAATTACTGCAGATAGATAGCATGGGGTTTTCCATTACTTACAATTTACTTTTATTTGACAAAGCATGCCAAATAGTTTTGATAAAATACTACAGTTGTAAGATAAATATTCCTGACATGAGTCGCCATCAGGAGAAAAAAGACAGGGACATTTCAGAACATTGAGCTTTATTTTCATTGACAAAGACAGCACAAATAGCATACATTTATTCAATACACAGGCTAGCTATGGCTTGAATGCCATCAAAAATAAAATGCTGATATATGTCTCATAGTTTCTTTTATTCTTTGGCTACACAATGTTGAACCCAATGTTTAGAACACACTGGAAGATATAATATGCTGCAGATCATAGCTGTACATAGAGGTAACCAAAACCACTTCCTCCATTAGCCATCTCTGTAAGGATGGGGCACTGAGAAGAGACGGAAACAAGGACTTTATGTACTGAGCTTTACAGTAGAACAGAAGAGCCAATGGTGTCTGTTCTTCCTTAGCACAACAAATAAGTGGTGCTTACATTCATTCCTTGTGAAAAGATCAAGCTAATCAATACCTATTTAAAATTTGCTTAAAATGTGTATGTTACTTATGTTATTTGTGTAACATAAATAGTAAAATAGGAGGAAATAAACATTGCCTTCTGTCCTCCCTTTCTCTTCTTTCTTTCCCCTACATTTTCTCTTCCCTCTCTCCCTCCCCCACTCTCTCTCACCCCCCTTTCTCTCCTCTCACTGAGAATAGTATTTTAAGGTTTAGTGAATATCTAAGTCCATTTACCTCAGCCCACTTATCACTTTCTTTTACCAATAAAAGAGGCCTGGTCATGTCTGTCTTTGTACGACTGAGAGCAAGTATAAAAAGATACATGAATTCCATTCCTCATTTTGCTTCTGCTGCCTGCCTAAAAGGAGGAAGAATGGTGACAGGTTGGCAGTGGACTTGTTTTCTCCCTTCTTTCTCCCTCCCTCCTTCCCTCCCTTCCCTTCCCTTCCTTCCTTCCTTCCTTCCTTCCTTCCTTCCTTCCTTCCTTCCTTCCTTCCTTCCTTCCTTCCTTCCTTCCTTCCTTCTTTCCTTCCTTCCTTCCTTCCTCTCTTCTCTTCTCTCTTCTCTTCTCCTCTCTTCCTCTCTCTCTCTCTCTCTCTCTCTCTCCTTCCCTCTCTCTCTCTCTCATCTCTTTCTTTGTGTTCTGGTCCTGGAGCTTGAACTCAGAACCTGGGCACTATCCTTCCACTTTTTCCCTAAGGCTAGCACTTTACAACCTAAACCACAGCTCCACTTTCAGTTCTTATTTTGGTGTTTAATTAGAGATAAGAGTCTCATGGGCTTTTCTGCCCTGGCTAGCTTTGAACTGTGATCCTCAGATCTCAGCCTCCTGAATAGCTAGAATTAGAGGCATGAGCCACCAGTGCCCAGGAAACATTCCTTTTTAAAGTAAAAATAATATTAAAATATTACATGCATTTTCAACTATTCACTTTTGATTTTGTTTTCTGGGACCTGAAAAACACATAAAGAAAACTATGTCTGGTGACTGTTTTGATTTTATCCAGGTTATGTAATCATTTTGAAGGATCAAAATACTCTAATTCTAAAGAATTTTACATTTGAGTTTAGAGCTACAAATGTGAAAATAAATTTAGATGTAGGATCACCTCTAATATGCTCAACAAGTATGAAAAGGCTGATTTGTACTTTATGTGATCTTTCTTGTCTACCTGTCTTTTCTCCCATAATTAAATGGCCCTGTCAAAGTAGACATCACAAAAAAGATTTAGATCTTTTCATATACTGGGGCCCTGGCATATTAGAAATATGAAGCTTTCTGTTTCTTAAAAAAATCTAGCCTCAGCTATCGAAAATATGTCTATTACTTTCTGTGTATGAGAAAAACGGATAAGCAGGCTGGAGGAAGGTATGTAGAGAGAAATAAGACTCATTCCTAATGATGGCATATGTAAATCTCGTAACTATTTGAGTGGTTTGTTACATGAAACTGACTCTTGAAAATAAAATATGCTTGATTCTGTATAATGGAACTGTATGATGTATAAACGAATATATATCTGTTTAAATTGCATTTCTAGAGACTCATAAGACATTGTGCTTATGACATCATAAGGGAATGATAAGCTTGTATGAGTTATAAAATATAATAAAATCTTCACTTTAGGAATGATGAAACAGAATATTTTCCTTATTTCTCCAGTTCATACCCCATGTGTATTTGTTACCTGGTAGTTTAGTTATAATACTAAATTGATGTCGGTTTCTTAACAAATATGGAGGTTGAGCTAAGTGATTCATAAATCACCCTATCATAAGCAATGTCATGACACCAAATATGTAGCTTACCTCTTATCAATATTTTATTGCATCTCAGAAAACCCTTCTACAGACTTTGTCACAATTGCATATATTTGCATATTTATTTAGACACAGATTTAAGGACATATACAAACACAAAACAAGCAATAAATACCTCTGAAAATATTATGGTTTATATTTAAACTTTATATAGATAAAACAAAAATTTAAATTATTCAAATGAAGCTTTTAACATGTGTATAGCAATAAATACTTTTAGGTTCACTATGTCACTTTTCACGCATCTGGAGTATTTCAAGAGAAAGTATGGGGTTAACGTGAAAATAAGTAGGCAATGCACATGTCAAATATTTCAAAGAACAAAACTATTCTCTTTTCTCTCTGATTTGATCCCAACCCACAAGAACTACTAAATAATTGTTAATGCTAGCAAATCTGAAAGTTGATCAGTCAGATGGAGCCAAAAATCCAACAAAAGCATAAAAAAATGCTAAAGAAATAAAAGGCTTTATCCACTTGAAAATCTAGTACTGAATACTGCCAAGGGTGTCCATCTTGTTAGAATATTATTTGTCAGAGTCTAATTTTTACATTCATCAATACCAGTGTGGTCAAAAAGTCTTTAAAAATTTCTTTTGTAGTTATCTTACATGATTCTTCATTTATGTCCTATAACTAGGCCAAGATATATTTTATAAAATAAAAATGCATTAGATAGAAATATACATGCACAATGTATTGTCAGACTGCTTTTGATTTCATGTGACTAACACATTTTCTAGATAGGTAGATAGATAGATAGATAGATAGAGAGCATTAGGCAAGTTTGATAAATCTTGTAATAACATTCTAGTTTGTTTTTCTTTTCTTTTTTTTTTTTCTTGATCGGTTGTGGGGCCTGATGGGTGCTGTCTCTCAGCTCTTTAGCTCAAGGTTAGCACTCTACCACTAGAGCCACAGCACCACTTCCTGCTTTTTCTGCTTACGTAGTGCTGAGTAATCAAACCCAGGGCCCCATGCATGCCGGGCAAGTACTCTACCACTGAGCCACCTTCCCAGCCCCACATTCTGTTTTGTTAACTGAAAAATATTTTAAGCCGTTTATCACATCCATTTGAAAAATAAATTTTTCTTATTTGACATCTCAATATTATCTTTTATGGTACAGCAAAGTGACAAATTGAAAAATCATACGCTTGCTGATTTTACATATATTTATTTCTGTTCACTCCTTTCCTGTGATTTTTCTGGGTCTCTAATTGTTTTGTAACCAATACGTCTAATTTCTAATTTATGTATGCATTTTTCTTCTTGCTCAGATACATACATAGATAAACTGTGTTCATGGGAAAGACATTAAAGGCTAATAAAAATAAAACCTAGAAATAGACATGGCTTTCTTCATTGACTGTGTCCATCTGCTTCTTCACAACAGGAAGAATCTCTGCAACTCATTTCTGAAATTTAACTTTAACTACCATAAAAGGTTAAAGCCATTTGAGATTTTCATTTAATAAGGTTTTCCTTTTTTAAAAAAAAATTACTTATTTTATTTTTTGTCAGTTGTGGGGGCTGAACTCTGGGCCTGGGTTCTGTCCCTCAGTTCTTCAGCTCAAGGCTAGCACTCTACCACTTGAGCCACAGCACCACTTCCAGCTTTTTTCTGCTTATGTGGTGCTGAGGAATCAAACCCAGGGCCTCATGCATCTGAGGCAAGCGCTCTACCACTGAGCCAACTTCCTGTATTCAACCAATGGCTTGCTAGATAACAAAATTCACATGCCATTTATACTATTTCTTCCTTTATCACTTTCTTTCCAAAACTAACAAAAAAATGACTATTCATACACTTCTACTATGTATCCCTTTGACAGGAATTTATTTTGTAACTAAGGCTTTTATGTCCTTCTGCATTTAGTTGTTAAATGAAAAGTAGCATTTTTACAGTAACCTCAGTAATTTCCAGTTGGAAATGTATCTCCTAAATTATTAATGTAGACAAAGCACTTTGTTGTACAATAAAATGACACTACACCTATAAAGACAAATTTGTATTTCTATAATTACATAAGCAGAAATCATTTACTTTATTGGCTTAATGGACTGTGTGTAATGGAATGAAATTCTTCAATGGTGTGGCATGTGTCTTATCAACGAGCACGCGGTTTTGGAAGATGTTTATACATTTATTTACTGAACAAAAACTTTTAAAACAACTTATGTGTTCTGGATACTATACTAGGTGCTGGAAGGAATAACTAGATCATGCTTTACCACTCAAATCTGTATCACATGTATATCTATCTGATTACAACTTAGGACCAGAAGATGACCCAAGATGTAAAACCTCTTTTTAGTATGTTGAAAATGTGGCTAATTTTGTTCTGTACTCTGTGAAGTGACCTATAGAATAACTAAACTCTAACACAGAAAGATTTTAGTATACGACTTAATATAAGATTTTTTTTCCCTCAATTTTCCAGTTTCTGGATTAGGGAACCATCCTGATTTACATTCACATTTTCAAAAGACTCAGTGTCGGGCTGGGAAGTTGGCTCAGTGGTAGAGCGCTTGCCTTGCATGCCTGAGGCCCTGGGTTCCATTCCTTAGCACCACATAAGAAAAAAGAAAAAAGCCGGAAGTGGCGCTGTGGCTCAAGTGGTAGAACGCTAGCCTTGAGCTGAAGAGCTGAGGGACAGCGCCCAGGCCCAGAGTTCAGGCCCCATGACCGGACCAAAAACAAAACAAAAACAAACAAACAAACAAAAAAGACTCAGTGTCTTCTGATTTAATTTCACATAGTGATTTACACTAATTATTACTGATGCCTTATGCAGGTGGACAAACTAATTTAATAGATTCATTATACCAGTTAAAATTAATATAAGACATACAAATAAACCTCAAGGTTTGATAAACTAGGAAACAATAGAACAAAATGAAAATAAAAGTATTCATAATAAAATGATGAGTTTACCAAATGAATGTATTGACAAGTTTGACAAATATTTATTTGAGGATGTTGTAACAAAAAGCATTGCTATGTTTATTGGGAAAACTTTTTCAGAAAGTACAATTCTCAAAAATTAAAGTAGTGATTTACTTTTTTTTTTTTTTTTTTGTCGGTCATGGGGCCTGAACTCTGTGCTTGGACACTGTCCCTCAACTCTTCAGCTCAAGGCTAGCGCTCTAGCACTTGAACCACAGTGCCACTTCTGCCTTTTTCTGCTTATGTGGTGCTGAAGAATTGAACCCAGGGCCTCATGCATGCAAGGTAAGCACTCTACCACTGAGCCACCTTCCCAGCCTGTTATTTACTTTTACTACAAAGATGGTAAGTCTATTTACCAAGGTTTATATTAATATGGGCTGTAAGGGGAATAACAATAAATATTTAGATAGAAATATTTTAAGGAAAGGGCAAAAACGTCTTTGAAAAATCAGTATTATTCATTTTTATCCTATATGTAGGCCAAACTATGAAAAGTCTTTATTGAATTTTCCAAGTATTTATTTTTTTTGGAATCAGAGTTCATATTTAAAGATCCAAAAGCCTGATGTCAGTGGCTTATACCTATAATTGTAGATACTCAGAAGGTTCAGATCTAAGGTTTGTGGTTTGAAGCCAACCCAGGCAGATAAATCTGAAAGACTCTTCTCTTCAAATAAAACACACACACACACAAAAAGAAAAGCCAGAGTTAGAGGAATGGCTCAAGAGGCAGAAACTCATCTGTGAGTGAAAAAGCCAAGTAAGGAAATTAGCACAAAAATAAATAAATGAATAAATAATAAAGATTTAAAAAACAGTGAAGAATTCATTTGTAATAAAAGAAGGAAAAGAATACCAATGCTTAATTTTTTAATTAAATCTTTAAATCACATTCTAAAAACAAAGTAAATCACCATCCTGTCTTTTATGGATAAGCTCCATAAATTTCCTCCAGGTTCTTTGGAATGTAAAATTTCTTCAAAAGAAAGAACATTTAGCAATTTTTGGCAGCCAGATTTGAAACAAATCAAACTGTCTCTTCTTTAGGTAAGGAGTAAACCAATAATCATCCAACTAAAAACTAAACGTTGCAAGGTTGGCAATTAATTTGATATTGTCAGAAAAAAAATGGAAGTAGATAAGTTAGAATGACTCAGATTCCAGCGTGAGCCTCTGGTATTACCAGCCCACTTGCTGATAATGGAAGGTAGGCTGCCAGCCCCTCAGCTCAGGCTCAAGGAAAGTTGTGCATTGCGCGTAGTGTGTGAGGTGCACGAGCAACCTATCCCCAAAGTTCTACAAAGATTCCAAGACATAAAGCTACAAATACTTTGTTGCACCCTTCATTGTCCATGAATTTCATTCATTGAATTCTATGAGACAAAGGACCCCAGACTACACCTGATCAAAGCTACATCAATAGGTTGAACAACATTTAAATGCCATTGATATCAACGGATATTGTGGATACATTATACATTTTTTTCATCCTAAACTAATTTTTTTAATATAAGTGGAGGAAAAAGTGACAGAGGAAGAGTTAGACAATGAAAGAGAACACAGAAGAAGAGCGCTGTCCTTGAGCAAAAACAAATCGCTCTTGTCTTATTTTTGATATTTGTGGCTAAATCTCCAAGCACTCAGTATATTGAGGTATTTCCCATCCCAATCAGCCTTCCCCAAGTAGAATAAGATCATTTATAATAAATGTTTTATCCACATAAATAATCATATATTCAACTGCAACATGGCAGAGATCCCCAAACCAGTAGGCTGTTATTAATATACTTTTCTTTGTTTATGTTTCAGTACTTTTGGCACATGGCTTTCTCAGGCCATTTTAGCTTAATATTAAAAGTTCCATCTCAATACATAAACAGTGGCATGGCAGAGATGCCTAAATTCACAGAGTTTCGAGATATTTGTTGCCCCAAACTGTGAACATACAAGTTGTCTAAGTGTTCTCTTTCATGCTCCTGTCTGCATTATTTCATTAGATAATGAAATGGGCTGCCCTTTCTGTCCATCGCTAGAGCAGCTGGAGACAGCATTTGCTACCTGGCAGAACTTTCGCAGAAGGATCTTTCTTAGCAGCAGATAAACCCAGGGATCCAAGATCTGGTTCAAGGAAGCCAGACGAACAGCTATTAAGAAGAAGTTGCATTCTTTTGGCTTTCCTGCCTGTGTCTTGCAGTGTTCAACTGATGTCTGATTGAAGATCATTTTCAACATCATTATCTAAGAAAGAAAGACAAATCATTATGAGAAGGATTAATAAGGTCATATATATCTGCAGAGCATCTTGCACCTACTGGATTTTAAACAAGTTGGTTGCATTGAAATGATGACAGCAATAACATTTACAGACACAGAACACATTATATGATATGGATTGTCCTACATTCTTCTTTGCTGTTTGACATGCTGTAGCTTTGTAAATGTGTGTGTTCTCTAGCTCTTGGTCCTTGGAATTTAGGAAGATTAGAAATGACACATTACAAAATTAGCCAAATTTGTGTCTTATAGAAAACTCCAGTACAGTGAGACCCAATGAGAGACAACTCTAATAAAAACACATTTAAACATAAATGACACTACTTCTTAAAAAAATTCCTCTGAATAAAAAGCAAGAAACAAAAAAGGAGAAAAATATTATAACAAAATTGCTGTTATTAATATTGCTTAGTATTTTTGTATCTTTAAGTTGAAGGCACCATTTCAATTTCTTCATTTTGTACTTAACAACTGACATAAGTATGATTACTACCTCCTTTCTGCAATTGCAGAAACAAAGATTTAATAAAGTCAAATGACTGAGTCGAACTTAAATATAAGCTTACTAAGTATCTTACCATTTTTTTAGTTCCTCTCCATACATTAAAATGCATAATCCATGATGATAGGAATTTAGGACTATTTATTCTCCCCTCTAGCAGATTGTTAGCATCTAGACCAATATTTATCAGATATAAGGTGTCTAACAAATACTTGTGAATTAACAAACATTTAGTTTTGAAAGAATATATGGTATACATATAACATCTTGAATGTACATGTGTTTTCATAGTCATGAATCGTGATTTTCACAAGAGGAAAATAATAATATGAAAAGATGTTCAAACTAATTTTTAATCATCAAAATTAGAAATGAGGAGCCATTTTACACTTACTAGATGAATGAAGAAATGTGACACTACAAATGTTAGTATGTGTTGCGAGAACTCTGACACACTTAGAGTGAGAATCCAAACTGGAGCTTGGAATTCTAGCAGCAGCAGACACTCAGATGGTTCATGCTCTGGAATAGATGTTTCTGTTTCCCCAGAATTCAAATACTGAAGCTCCAACACCCAATATGATGGTATTAGATAGAAGGTAGGGCTTTCAGGTGGTAACTAAGCTTACATTCGGTCATGAATATGGTGGCCATAATGGGATCATCGTACTTAAAAGAAGATGAAGGGGTACCAGAAGTTCCTCTCACTACCTTGCTATAAGGATAAATCAAAAAGATAGTTGTTGAATGAAGAGGAAAAGGAGTGACATTGTTAAAAAAGAAATGTACTCTTTATCTGAATATGTAGCATTCATGCCTCTGTCCATCTCCTTTACAGTATCAATAAAAAATTGAAAAACATAAAAGAAGATATTTCTCATAACTCCAAAACGGGCTTCCAACAGGAATCAAATCAGCCAGCACTTCAGTCTTGGACTCTCTAACCTCCAGAACTCTCAGAATATGTGTCTGTCATTTGAGATATCCCATGATGGTATTTTATTCTAGTAATATGAACACCAAGTATATACGAAGTCAATTTATCAAAGATTCAACTTTCTGAATTCCAGCTCTAAATCAAGAGTGTCTTCCCACTCTTGACTGGATAAAACTTTAACTTAAAGATAATTCCTGCTTCAACATTTGTTTTAAGTATTATATACCACCAAGTAGCCCACAGGGGTACTAATGTCAGCTATATCTCATTGGTTTAGAATAGGTCTTTATTCTTTCCTACCTCTTGGCCTTTATGATTGTCTCCACTTCTGAAATACTTTGTATCTTATTAACCATTTCAACTTCTGAAAATTCCTTGTCGGCCTTTTCTGATCATTACAAACCTCTGTCCTCTGGAGGCTTACAATATGTGGACATCAGATAAAAAACCTTAGAGCCCACAGAATTACAGTGGACACTAACCTGTCTCCAGGGTTAGTGAACTTTTCCACAAGCAAATGAACAAAAGAAGTGTTGACATATCTGAATATTTACTCTGACAGAAAGGATATTTAGCTACTAGGTTTGACCATTTTCTACTCTTCTTGGAAAAATGGGCCTCTACTATACATTAAAGTTTCATATATTAGTTTAGTATTACTAAATATTGGGTTCTTAACTCCCCATGTTCTGTCTTTTTCTACCCAGCTGATAATTAATGGTTGCAGTATAGATAACTAAACTAGAAAAGAGAATTGGGTCATGAGATTTCTGATATTGCTAATTCTGTCCTGTTGTCTCAATTTACTAATTTTTTATGGTTCTGGGGCTTAAGCTCAGGGCTTGTGTGTTGTTCTTGAATATTTTTGCTAAAGGCTTCCAGCTCTTAGATGATTAATTGGAGATAAGAATCTCATGGACTTTTTTGCTTGGGTTGATTTCAAATGTTGATCCTCAGATCTCAGCCTCCAGTACAGCTAGGATTACAGGTGTGAGTCACTAGTGACCAGCTCCCAATTTTATTTTTTAAATACAAGTAAGAGTAAAGAAGCAGGCAGGAAGGCAAGTACAAAGACAAATAAGAGAGAAGAAAGTTTACACCAACATTCTCAAAGGCTATAAGTAGACACTGATCTCCAGGCATTTCCCATTTTCTTATTCAATGGCAGCTTATTCTTAATCTGCTCACTGGCAAAGGGAACGAGAACTACCAATCTGACCTATAAAACGAACTCAAGCCTTGGGATATAATTTCTGGTCATTGACTAGGTTGCCCCCAATATGCAAACAAAATTACTGCTCTGTAAACAAGAGGAAGGAAATGGGGAGAAAAACAGGGAGACAGCTACATATATGCTAACCCTGCCATTTCATTCATAGAAGTTTTTCCAAGGAGTTTCATTCAGGAAAAGCAAAACTTAGCTATGCAACA